GACACTGTGACACTGTGACAGTGTCCCCAGTGTCCCCAATGTCCCCAGTGTGTCCCCAATGTCCCCAATGTCCCCAGGACCTGCGGGGCAGTGTCCAGCGGCTCTGCGCGTTCCTGGGCCGGCGCCTGAGCGCGGCCGCCGTGGACGCCGTGGTGGCCACCAACGGTCACTGTGACACTGTGACACTGTGACAGTGTCCCCAGTGTCCCCAATGTCCCCAGTGTGTCCCCAATGTCCCCAATGTCCCCAGGACCTGCGGGGCAGTGTCCAGCGGCTCTGCGCGTTCCTGGGCCGGCGCCTGAGCGCGGCCGCCGTGGACGCCGTGGTGGCCACCAACGGTCACTGTGACACTGTGACACTGTGACAGTGTCCCCAGTGTCCCCAATGTCCCCAGTGTGTCCCCAATGTCCCCAATGTCCCCAGGACCTGCGGGGCAGTGTCCAGCGGCTCTGCGCGTTCCTGGGCCGGCGCCTGAGCGCGGCCGCCGTGGACGCCGTGGTGGCCACCAACGGTCACTGTGACACTGTGACACTGTGACAGTGTCCCCAGTGTCCCCAATGTCCCCAGTGTGTCCCCAATGTCCCCAATGTCCCCAGGACCTGCGGGGCAGTGTCCAGCGGCTCTGCGCGTTCCTGGGCCGGCGCCTGAGCGCGGCCGCCGTGGACGCCGTGGTGGCCACCAACGGTCACTGTGACACTGTGACACTGTGACAGTGTCCCCAGTGTCCCCAATGTCCCCAGTGTGTCCCCAATGTCCCCAATGTCCCCAGGACCTGCGGGGCAGTGTCCAGCGGCTCTGCGCGTTCCTGGGCCGGCGCCTGAGCGCGGCCGCCGTGGACGCCGTGGTGGCCACCAACGGTCACTGTGACACTGTGACACTGTGACAGTGTCCCCAGTGTCCCCAATGTCCCCAGTGTGTCCCCAATGTCCCCAATGTCCCCAGGACCTGCGGGGCAGTGTCCAGCGGCTCTGCGCGTTCCTGGGCCGGCGCCTGAGCGCGGCCGCCGTGGACGCCGTGGTGGCCACCAACGGTCACTGTGACACTGTGACACTGTGACAGTGTCCCCAGTGTCCCCAATGTCCCCAGTGTGTCCCCAATGTCCCCAATGTCCCCAGGACCTGCGGGGCAGTGTCCAGCGGCTCTGCGCGTTCCTGGGCCGGCGCCTGAGCGCGGCCGCCGTGGACGCCGTGGTGGCCACCAACGGTCACTGTGACACTGTGACACTGTGACAGTGTCCCCAGTGTCCCCAATGTCCCCAGTGTGTCCCCAATGTCCCCAATGTCCCCAGGACCTGCGGGGCAGTGTCCAGCGGCTCTGCGCGTTCCTGGGCCGGCGCCTGAGCGCGGCCGCCGTGGACGCCGTGGTGGCCACCAACGGTCACTGTGACACTGTGACACTGTGACAGTGTCCCCAGTGTCCCCAATGTCCCCAGTGTGTCCCCAATGTCCCCAATGTCCCCAGGACCTGCGGGGCAGTGTCCAGCGGCTCTGCGCGTTCCTGGGCCGGCGCCTGAGCGCGGCCGCCGTGGACGCCGTGGTGGCCACCAACGGTCACTGTGACACTGTGACACTGTGACAGTGTCCCCAGTGTCCCCAATGTCCCCAGTGTGTCCCCAATGTCCCCAATGTCCCCAGGACCTGCGGGGCAGTGTCCAGCGGCTCTGCGCGTTCCTGGGCCGGCGCCTGAGCGCGGCCGCCGTGGACGCCGTGGTGGCCACCAACGGTCACTGTGACACTGTGACACTGTGACAGTGTCCCCAGTGTCCCCAATGTCCCCAGTGTGTCCCCAATGTCCCCAATGTCCCCAGGACCTGCGGGGCAGTGTCCAGCGGCTCTGTGCGTTCCTGGGCCGGCGTCTGAGCGCGGCCGCCGTGGACGCCGTGGTGGCCAACGCCTCCTTCGGGGCCATGAGCCAGAACCCCATGAGCAACTTCAGCCGCAGCCCGGCCTTCATCCTGGACCCCCGCAGGGGACCCTTCCTCAGGAAAGGTGACACTGGGGACATTGGGGACATCACTGGGGACACTGGGGACATCATTGGGGACATTGGGGACATCACTGGGGACACTGGGGACACTGGGGACACCCTGGGGACATCATTGGGTACCCCCCCTTCATCCTGGACCCCCGCAGGGGACCCTTCCTCAGGAAAGGTGACACTGGGGACACTGGGGACACCCTGGGGACATCACTGGGGACATGATTGGGTACCCACCTTCATCCTGGACCCCCACAGGGGACCCTTCCTCAGGAAAGGTGACACTGGGGACATCCTGGGGACATCATTGGGGACACTGGGGACACCCTGGGGACATCATTGGGGACACTGGGGACACCCTGGGGACACTGGGGACATCATTGGGTACCCCCCTTCATCCTGGACCCCCGCAGGGGACCCTTCCTCAGGAAAGGTGACACTGGGGACACTGGGGACATCACTGGGGACACCCTGGGGACACCCTGGGGACATCATTGGGGACACTGGGGACACATTTGGGGACATCCTGGGGACGTTTGGGGACACATTTGGGACATTTGGGGACGTTTGGGGACATTGGGGACACATTTGGGGTGGAATTTGGGGACATTTGAGGACATTTGAGGACATTTGGGGACATTTGAGGACATTTGGGGACATTTGGGGACATTTGGGGACGTTTGGGGACATTTGAGGACATTTGAGGACACATTTGAGGACATTGGGGACATTGGGGACATTTGAGGACATTTGGGGACATTTGGGGACATTCTGGGGACATTGGGGGCACATTTGGGGACATTTGGGACATTTGGGGACACATTTGGGACATTTGGGGACATTTGAGGACATTTGGGGACATTTGGGGACATTTGAGGACATTTGGGGACATTTGGGGACGTTTGGGGACATTTGGGGACATTTGGGGGCATTGGGGACACATTTGGGGTGGGATTTGGGGTTTTTTGTGTGATTCTGCTCCTTCCTGACTTTGTGGGGTTTTTTTGTGGGGAGGGGATTTGGGGGAGGGGATTTCCCCCCATTTTTTCCCAAATTTCCCATTTTTTCCCCATTTTTTCCCCAATTCTTCCCCATTTTTTATCCAATTTTTCCCATTTTTTCCCCATTTTTCCACCAATCTTTTTACCCAATTTCCCCCATTTTTTTGCCATTTTTTCCCCATTTTTTATCCAATTTTCCCCATTTTTTCTCATTTTTTAACTTTTTCCCCCATTTTCCCCCATGTTTTCCCATCTTTTTCCCATTTTTTACCTTTTTCTCCCATTTTCACCAATTTTTTTTCTATTTTTCCCCCAAGTTTCCCCCAATTTTTCCCATTTTTTCACCCATTTTTTGCCCATTTCCCCCGTTTTTTCCCATTTTTCCCCATTTTTGTTTGTTTCTTCCCCGTTTTTGTTTGTTTTTTCCCCATTTTCCCCATTTTCCCCCCGTTTTTTCCCATTTTTACCTGTTTTTTCATTTTTTCCGTTTTCTCCCCATTTTTGTTTTCCCTCATTTTTTACCCGTTTTTGTTTTTCTCCTCGTTTTTCCCCATTTTTGTTTGTCTTCCCTCATTTTCTCCCCGTTTTTCCCCATTTTTGTTTGTTTTCCCTCGTTTTCTCCCCATTTTTGTTTGTTTTCCCTCGTTGTTTACCCGTTTTTCCCCATTTTTGTTTGTCTTCCCTCATTTTCTCCCCGTTTTTCCCCATTTTTGTTTGTTTTCCCTCGTTTTCTCCCCATTTTTGTTTGTTTCCCCTCGTTGTTTACCCGTTTTTGTTTCCCCTCGTTTTTTACCCGTTTTTCCCCATTTTTGTTTGCTTTCCCTCATTTTCTCCCCGTTTTTGTTTGTTTCCCCTCGTTGTTTACCCATTTTTGTTTGTTTTCTCCCCATTTTCCCCCGTTTTTGTTTGTTTTCTCCCCGTTTTCCCCCATTTTTCTTTGTTTCCCCTCGTTTTTTACCCGTTTTCTCTCGTTTTTGTTTGTTTCCCCTCGTTTTTTACCCGTTTTCCCCCATTTTTGTTTGTTTCCCCTCGTTTTTTACCCATTTTCCCCCATTTTTGTTTGTTTCCCCTCGTTTTTTACCCGTTTTCCCCCGTTTTTGTTTCCCCTCGTTTTTTACCCGTTTTCCCCCGTTTTTGTTTGTTTCCCCTCGTTTTTTACCCGTTTTCCCCCATTTTTGTTTGTTTCCCCTCGTTTTTT